TTCCCAAATTCTAACACTGAGCGTATTCATAGTTGTATTCATAGTTGTTGCTGGGTGCCTTCAGGTCTGCACTGTATATTGGAAACCTTGTGTTGCCAACCTTATGTATAACAGAACAAAACAGTACTGGTTCCTGAGCCATGATCCTGATTGTTGGCACCATTCAGTTCACCATTATGGCTATTGTGTTAATCTAATTTGTTGAGGATTTCCCTCAGCACTCTGACACTCTATTTAAAAAGCAATGATCTTTCCTGATAAATCACCAAAAGAAAGAGAGGCAAAGTTTTACCAACCTCACTTCTAAAGTACATTCTATCTTTAACTCTTCTCATCTTGATTGTTGTTCACAGTTTTTAATTTGCTTATTTCTGGAAGAACATAGCCAGGACTTTCTTCTTAAATTGTGTAAGTCTGCAAACATCACTAACATCTACCTACAGTGCTGGCATTTTAATTACCAGTGCCTAACTTCTATCATCACACAACTCACAAACCACCACAGAACAAAAACTGATAAGGATATAACAAAGGTTAAAAAGGTATTCATTTCTATTGGCTAAATTTGAGATCAAGCTAATATAAATCATGATAAGGGCAAAACAGATAAATCAAATAAAGCATATGGTGAAAAGTGGATTAGCTGACATTCCATACACTAATATAGTTTATGCTTTCTTAAAAAGAAATAACTAAAAGAATATAAAATCTCAGAAGTAGTTTGCTGTTAATATATACATTTATTGTATTAAAATGTGTATTTTGGTTTTGTTAAAACCCTTGTTGACTCTTCTAATGTGAACATTTTTAATTTGATTTAATAAAAAGTATTAATTTGGGGGGAAGCACTAGAAATTCATTTAACAAAATCTGCACGATTGCCTTATTTTTAGATAGTTATGATTATACTTTTGAGGCTCCATCTCACATATTTCAGGCATATTGCAAGGAGCAACCAGTCCTAGGAGAGGGACAGCATGCTGGAAGGGTAGAGGGACAGCACAAAAGAGGAAGACCCTTGATGAGATGGATTGATTCAGTGATTGGGGTAATGGGGTAGGTGTGTCAGAGACAATAAAATTGGCACAGGATAGAGCAGGGTTGAGAACTGTTCTACATGTGGTCTCTATGAGTTGCAGGTGACTTGATGGTACAATAACAATCATAATCTCTGAATTAGTCGCTTCTCTCATGCTGTGATATCTTTAATTAAATCCAGTCATTTGTCATGACCATTAATTAAAGGTGGCTAAATAGACATTATCAGAAATTCACTTTAAATCTGGTTCATAGCTTTATCTTTAACAGCTATTCAAATATGCTAAGAATAAGTAGTATAAGCAAAATAAATTTTTCTAGATTTATATTTTCTATAGACTTCAAGGAGTTTTTATCTTCTTTAAAGAATATGACTTTAAGAATAAAACTAGGAAAAAGAACTAAAAACTGGAGCAACACAGTACTATAAAATGTTTACAATATTGACGAATGAGTCACAGAAAATGTGTTTTCAAAATGTGGCTAAATTTACCATTCTGTGTTTTGGTTTTTTTTAAACAACTAAAATAAACCTAATTTCTTAACAAATCTATTCTAAATAATAACTATATTTGTATAAGTGCTGACATGCTCTGCAAATGGTTATTGAGGGAAGATTCTGTCCTGGATGAACCTAATTTTCTTCCATTAAAAAGAAAAAAAATTACAGAATAGTGAGGAAGTGTGTTTGATATATTTTCTATATGAAATAGTTATATGTGGACAAGACCTCTACACTATTGAAGGGAACTGTATGCTAAGGATCAGAAAATTATTATTTACCAGTTGGGTTCTGTCCCTGGAAGGAGAGAGCAGGATCTTTAGGCATATTTACTCAAAAAATAAAAGTTAAGAACACTGATAGTGGAAAGTAAAGTTCAGTCTAAGAAAGAACATGAAAGGCTAATACTAAATTCAAACACTTAAGTATACAGAGCATTAAATTATATATTTCAAGTTCTAATAAAGATAAAAGTTGAAAGGAATCATATGAAGAAAAACCAAATGAAGGAACGGTATTCACTAACTTAAATATCCTACATATTGGCTGTCATTTTCCTTTCTGACAAAGAGGATTGCACAGATAGAGTAGCAAAGGTATTCTGGAAATAGTTTCCCTGCTAGAGAATTTTCTGCAGTGGATCCAGACTCTTTGTATAACATATACATTTTATATGCCACTCTTTTTTATTCATCGATATTATTTTTACAACATCATGCCTTTCCTTTGATGGGCATCCCTTTAACCAATTTCTTTACTTAGAAGAAACCCCCCCCCCCGAATCTTCCAAATTTTAGTTAATATTTGCCTTTAGTTTTGTGTAACCTTCCCAAACCCTCTGAACAATGCGATCACTCACTTGTTGATATTAATCATCTGTACTTTCAGAGAACTCAGCTCTTATCTGGTATCTTGCAAGGACTGCAATAATAATCCATTTGCAGGCTTTTCCCAACAGATGAGCAATTTTCCACAAGGATAATGATGGAACATAACTCTTGATTTAGCTAAGGAAGAACTCACTGAAAAGTTTACAGAACTGCACAGAGTATGACTTTTAAGATTAACATGGGCCACTAGAGCTCCATAACAAAAAATAGACATAGAAAAAAAACTTTGTTAAAACTAGACAACTGGGAGCTCTGGTGGCCTAGTGGCAAGCACCTGTACTGCAATCCTGAAGGTCTGTGGTTCGAATCCACCAGATGTTCTGCTGGACAAGGAGGGACTCTCTCCTATACCAGTTGAATCCAATTCAGTACACACTGTACACACACACAATAAATAAACAAAATTTAAAAACAAAAAAAAAACTAGACAACTATTTAGAATGCTGTACTGTCAGTGTCAGAAGTCATGGATGTATTTATGTATTCATCACCTACATTTGATGAAATGCAGGACAAGAAGGACATAAATGTCAAAGAACATACTACTTTCATTTTAAAAATTTATTAATCAACTTATTCACTGTCTTTTTTTTGACTGACAGCCAAAATAAAGGGGGGGAAAGAAAACTTTTAGTGAAAATTTCTATTTAGGAATGTTAGCAAGAATTCTAAGTACGTTGATCATTTCATCAGTGATATTTTCCTCCAATACTCTTACTAAAACTAAAAAAGATCATGGATATTTTAATCTGTTAGAAATCAGAATTTGCAAAGGGAAGCTATTAAGGATTTCTGCAACAAAGCAAGTTCAGAAAGATAGTTGAAAATCTGTACACCAGGAGCAATCCAATCAGATTCCAGTTTCTTATTCATCACTTATTAATTTTATCTTCTTGCCTAATACACGTACATATATACATATAGCATTTACACTGAAATAATTATGAAAACACACTATAAAATCAGGGCTTTTATGACAACATTATTATTTCAGTTTTAACAATTTTTTCAAAATTCTCTACCGTTATATATATATAATCTTAAACCTTAAATATTACTGAATTATTTCCACATAACTTGTTAAAATTCAATTTGAGCTTCATTGTTTCACTGCAGGTTTATAGATTCGATATATGAGACAAATAAAGTCAAGCATAGAAAACACTGTGCAAAACATCTAGTTTGGCGCCAGCTGCTAATTGGTGATGGTTTATTTATTGGAATACGACTCAATCATCAAAAATGTTATTTTAGGACTTCAATGGGCCAAACATTTATCCTCACTTAAACAATATACACTAAAGTAGGAAATTAGTCTAGGAAAATACATTATTCTTAAAAATAAACTTATTGCTCTCTGATAGACCACTTTCCTCTCTTGTGCTGTCCCTTCACCCTCCCAAGCATGATGTCCCTCTCCAAAGACTGGTCGCTCCTTGCAACATGCCCATAGTTTGTCAGACAGAGTTTCAGAATCCTTGCCTCCAAGGAGCAACCTGGTTTTGCCCTCTCTAGGAAAAACCTGTTTGTTCTCCTAGCAGTCCATAACACAGTAATTGACATCTGACTGTAGTAAAGCTCAAAAGCAGTGACAATTTCAATGTTTAGGATTTGTATTAGGCACTGTCATTACTATTGTTAATCACTGAATTAGAAGAATGAGGATGCTCTGGGAGTTTAAACACTAAAGCAGAGCCCAGATCCACTTCCTAATTAGATTTATTATCTTAACACCAGGAGAAATAGGAATCTTTATACAAAATAATCTAACATCTGGTCTACCTCTATCCCACAGATGTTCATGGGAGGATGAGTGCAGAGGTGATGTCTCAGTTCACATTTTCCTTTTATCAACAATGATCACAAAGAGAAAATCTGTTTAGAGCTACCAGGAGAAATGAAGACATTTCCTTTGTCTTTGCAGTCTAGAGAACTGTGACTGAGAAAATGATATGTCAATAAGCAGACAAAGACTGTTAAAGAAACACAAAAGCACAGAATCTACTCCCAGAGACCTAGATTGTGCATCCTGTTTAAATGTGTCACTGGTGTAGGGTTTAGCAACACATCCATATTTTATTCCATGTAAAGAGGAAAGAAGCCCTAGAGAATTGCTCCTGAAGATGTCTCAGAAATTATTGAAAGGTGCATTTACAGTCTTCCGTCAAATGTTTGTTTTTCTTGTATTCCTGAGAGTACAAAAGATGTTTGAGATGTAATACATGTCTTCTAGTAGATGTCCATTAAAAGTTTCTCAGGAAGTCATTTCCCTGAGTGACTCACACATTCTGTTTAAGCTTAGTGAAAATTAAAGTTGATATTAGGCAAATAGGATTTACTGCTTAACCTCAGTTAGCAAGTTCATCAACTCAAGCAAAGCAAACAATGGGGACGAATACCAAAGACACCAATGAACTGAGCAAGAGCCTAGGAGATTAAGACAGGGTCAATATAAATTAATAAAACATGGAAGATTCTGGTTCAGGCAGATGCATATGTTCAGTTGTGAGCAAATTCTTTTACTCCTTAGATTCTTAGGCCCATAGTGGCTTTTAATGTCTTCTACTTACCAAGGGCTTGGTTTCATCTTCATCTTTGAAATAATGCAGCTGATCTCCCTTGAGAACGAACCAGCGGGTATGCCAAGTCTTGACAAAACCTCCTTGCTTCCTCAGCCACCCACACTTCATGCCACTCTGCCGCCCTTGGCCTGGTTGAGGGTTCTCGCCAGAGTCATTGTTCTCCTCCATTATCAAGCTGATGGGCTTCCCTACTGAGCAAAGAAAGAAAAGGAAAGAATGAGGAGGTCTGTTACCTTCCAGTTCCTCTTAAATCTCACCTGTCTTTAAATAAATGAAAAGAGGATGAGGAAAAATATTTCTGACTCCCTTGCCAAAGTTCTAGAAAGAGGTCACATATCTAGGAACAACAGGCCTGAATAAAACTCAGGGAACTTGTTTTGTCTACCTTTTTCTTAAGTGAACTAGAATAGTGATACATTTATTGTTTATGTTATTTTATTGTTTTCCCTAAGTAGTAGTGAAGAAATGTGACAGTTCTAGAAGTAATATGTTAAGTTTTGAAAATTAACTTAAACAAGTAAAAAAGCGTAGCTCTCATGGTGATGGGCCTCAGCGTCGGTGTACTGATTCGGCCTGTCTGTGCAGGCCTCTGATTGTCTCAGCAAGCGCCAGCCTGACACATGCTAAGCTTTAAAGAGACTATTTTAAAAACCTCAATGGAAGACATTTGTTTTGCATATGTGAAAATTTCTCCCTCCCCTCAAATTATCCCTTTGAGAGTTTCTTTGGCTGGCTGGGAATTAGAACAGCTGAAAAAACTTAGGGGGAAATAAATAAAACCTGCTTGGCAAATCATATTTCCTTCTCCTTACATCCACTCTCAACATGTAATATGGTGAGCTCCAGTGAATTACATGGAGAATATTTTAAAGTTATCAGTGAAGGAGTATAAGGTCATATACAAGATATATAACAAGAGCATTTTACTTCAGAGAAAATAGTAATCAACAAATGAGAAGCTTAGTAAGAAGAGAGGAGGTGAGCTTTTTGAGAGAGCTAGGGAATGAGTGGTAGGAGTTTCAAATAAAATTTTCTCCTCCCAGAGGTTTTCTCAAATCCTGCCTAACATTTCTTTCTAAGCATGTACTCAGGAACTGAGAAGCCTACTCTCTTACTTCCTGCATCTAAAAAGTACATGGAATAAACTTAAAGGATATAAATTAATAAAAACAAGGCATATTCTGATTCAGGCATATACATATATAAACCATCTATTTTTAAAAATATTTATTCCTTAAGAAATGTAGACTTTACTCTGTACTTTCACATTAATTTTTTAATCAATTTATCCTTATAAAATTCATATATACATTGCCAAACAGTGAGTACTCATCTACCAACAGGCAAGCTGGTGGTTTGAACCTTCCCAGTAGAAGAACACTGGAGTCATCAAGAGAAGGGTGCCAGTGTTGGATGACCTGTGGAACATAGTTAACTCTATACTCCTATGCTCTCCATAAACCTTTTTTATTTTTTTTCTTTTAATGAATGTTTACAGTGATTTCAGATTTCCATTCATTCATTGTTGCATTTTTCTCCCTTCCCACCCCGCCCCCAACCTCCATTCCCTCTTCTCTTTGAAAAGTAAAAGCTGCAGCATTTGTCCTTTCGTGACTGTGATATTTCACTCAACACAATGGCCACCAGGCTTCCCCCTGTTGTGTAATGTTTTAAGAGTTCATTGGTTTTCATAAAACCAATGTTACGTAATATACCATTGTGTGAATGTACCATCTTTTTACAATCCATTAATTTTTTTAAATTTTTTAAAAATTTTATTATTTTTGTGTGTGTATGTGTGTACCATCAAATGGGATCTGACTGGTACAGGAGGAGATTGTCCCTCCTTCTCCAGCAGACCATCTGGTGGATTAGAACTGTGCACCTCTGGGATTTCAGTGCAGCTTCTTGCCACTAGGACACCAGGGCTCGCCTATCCATTATTATTTTTTAATACATTTTAACAAACGTTTACAGAGATTTTGGATTTCCATACATTCATTGTTGTATTTTTCTCCCTGCCCACCCTGCCCCTCAGTTAGCGCCTCTCTTTGAAAAGTAAAAGAAAAATTATTTCATTGGTATAGAATCCCCACAACCCCCCTACCCCAGTACACTCCTCTATGCAACCTTCATTCTGGACTCTTGTCATAACCATAATACCCAATCATATATCGCTTTTAAACTGTTCTCTCCCTCATCTGTTTCAATGCAGTATACATAATTCATCTAATTTTTCTCAGTCTCACTCCAATCCTGATGTTAGTCCCATTTTCACGCCTATCTTGAGAGAAGCAGACTGCCACATTATCCTTCTTTGGAGCAGCTGGTGAGTTAGAAATACCAAAGTTTCCTCAACTTCTGCATACTTAACTATTGTACCATCCAGACTTCTTAATTATAACTACACTCAAAAATTCCATGGAATTCTCAACCCTTGGTTTTATCTGTGAATTTCTTGAAGGTGCAAGGTAAAATCTTCAATTGCTGATCTCTACAGATTCTTTAAGGCAACCAACAGATGGTACAGCTTTTGACTGCTAACCCAAAGATGGTGGTGGTGCTTGTTGTTGATCGCCGTCAAGTCGAGCGCCACTCATAGCAACCCTATGAACAAAAGACCTGAAGCTTTTCTATAACTATAGTCACTTCTCAGAGTTCACAGAGTTTCCAGAGGCATGTTGTTTAGGAAGTGGATGCCATTCACCAACAGACACCTTGAAACAAAGCAGGTAACCTGCTTCTGAAAAATCTGCCACTGACAGTGTTTAGGAGCACATGTGTACTGCCACTCATCGGGTGTGTCCTAAAGTCAAAACTGATTCTATACATTTGTTTTAATTTTTTAAATTTCATTTCTTTAAATTTAGTTTTATCATTCCAATTATATTGTTAAAACAAATGTTACAGTTCTTTTTACTTTTTAGTCTTCATTTCAATCATTTTGCAATTTTGTCTTTCCCCTTGAATTCAAATCTATCTCCATTCTTATTTTTCACTTTGTCTATTTAAAGCCCTTTAATTTACAAATCATTGCTCCTGCATGCTGCATGGTATCCATTGTGTGAATGTACCATAATTTCTTAATGCATTCATTTGTGGTTGGGCATTTGCACTGTTTCCATGTTCCTATGGTAGTGAAAATGCTATGACACTGGTGCACAAATCTCCATTTGTGCCTCAGTTCTCATTTTCTCAGAGTATATTCCAAGCTGGTTAATATGGAATTTCTATGTTTCACTTTTTGAGGAAGTGCCAAACTGCCTTCCAGAATGGTTGCACCATTTTACAATCCCAACAACAACGTATAAAAGTACCTTTCTTACAACATTCTCTCCAACATTTATTACTTGCTGCCCTGTTAAACTTAGCCACTGTTACTGGAGTAAGATGGCACCTCATTGTGGTGTTGATTTGCATCTCTCTTATTGCCAGGAACAATAATTTTATAAATTATTACCTAACTTGGGAAGAACTGGAGAGCATTAGGCTGAGTGAACGAACTCAGTTCCAAAAGGATAAATACTGTATAAAACCATGATTGTAGAATGAGTATAAGGATTCAAGAGGGGAGGGGAAGGGTAGAAGTGGAGGGATGAGGATGTGCAGGGGGAGGAGGGGATTAATCATGGGGTTGTACAATTTGATGGGGGTGAAGTGAGGGAAATGGAAAAAATTTGTTCTTAAAAACAATGCACTCAAATTTTGTAAATAAACTAGTAAAAAATTTAAAAAAAGATTATAGCCGGGGGTGGGAGTGGGGGCAGAGGTGAATAAAGTCTTTTTAAGTAGCAAATAGGTCACTTCACTACTATCTATCCTTTTCACCAATCAATGTTCCCTTTTTTAACATTTTAGAATGTCTTCTAATTAATAGTCTACCATCTCTACAAAATTCCTTGAGGTAGTCTTTTCTCTGTGGGATATTCCCAGAACATTAACCACTTACTGCAGAAAACTCTGGTGTATGCATATTGGATCATGCCTGATGCTTCCAGATTGTTCTGCCCTTAAGGCAAAATATTTCATCTCTTTTCTTGTGCAATACTCAAAGAGCCAACTAAACTCAACTTACAATGAACAAGAAATGATATCATAAAATTTAGATAATGAGTATATTTTTTTTGCCCATCTTAAATAATTGTTTAATTTATTGGAATTTAAAATATCCACATATCCACTACTTGCGACGTCAATCTCACTTACTTATTTTTTAAACAAGCGTCCTACTGTATAAAGTTGAATCATACCTTAAAGCAAACATATTATCTGTATATATAAAAACATACAAAAAGGCTTTGCACAACAAATTCATTTGTTTGCGTCGCACAACAAATTCATTTGTTTGCGTCTCTTTTTCCCTTCCTTCTATTAAATACTCTTTAAAGACCTCCTAAAATGCTTGAGTTATTACTAAACTACCATCAATAACATTAAAATCCTAAGTACCCAATCCCTCTTCTTCTCATCACTTAAAAATTTTTTAAAGCATGCATGTATAAACATGGTTCATATGTCTTGCATATGTTGTTTATAAGTCTGGCTAAAGTAAACAGCATTATTGCACAGTGAACTCTTGGATCTAAAGCTTAAATTTTTATGACTTCAGATTGTAATAGTTTTGGTAATGTTAATTGTAACAATTAAAAGTGATTGTATCATATTGCTAAGGAAAATAGTGCTACAATTGTTGGTAGATGTTTCAAATTGTTTTGCTAAAATAAGCATGACTTTTATAGAGGAATGTTGATATTTACAGACAAACTAATTGATTCAAATTTTACTCTGTGTCTTTATAATGAGGATTGTTCATTCAGAAATCATACTTAACTGTGAATCTCTTCATCACTCTAAAATCTATAATCTCTGTAACCACACTATATATCCCCAATGTATAATATCTGGTATACAGTGAAGCTAAATAAATGTTTAATTCATTCATTCATTTTGCGATACATCTGTTGCTTGGTATCTAAAAATTAACAGAAATCTCCTCCTGAGACCAGATCTTCTCCAAAACCTGACCATACTAAATGGTACAATGCAATACTCAATGACAAAAGAAAGAAAATGGAAGTGGCGATCTTTTAATTTCTAAATCTCCCTCATTTTTAAAGGCAAATCCATAAATTATTCCTAAAGATTACATTTTAAAAAAATCATTTCAAATCTGTCCACTAGGCT